AAAGCAGAAAACGACATTTTTATTAGAAAAATGAAAGAAGTTGTAACTTCAGAAAAATATAAAACTTCTTCACCAGCATATTCAATATGTGATGAAGTGCTGTTATATGCTGGAAGGGTCATGATACCGGTTGTAGTACAAAAGCGGATTTTGAAGGAATTTCATCAGGGGCATCCTGGTATTGGACGTATGAAAGCCCTGATGAGGAGTTACGTTTATTGGCCAAATATGGACAAAGACATTGAACAGGTAGTTAAAACTTGTAGAGGGTGTCAAATGGCAGCAAAAGCACCTCCAGTAAAATACACACCATGGCCAAAAACAGATGTTCCATGGCCAAAACTCCACATAGATTATGCTTGACCCATGAATGGTAATTTCTACTTGATAGTTATGGATAGCTATTCCAAGTGGCCTGAAATTTTTAAGTGCAAAAGACCAACTGCTTCTGTAACAAAAGATTTTCTTACAGAACTGTTTGCACGTTTTGGAGTACCAGAAAAAATTGTCACCGACAATGGAACTCAATTCACAGGAAGTAAATTTAAGACGTTTTGTAAGACTCTGGGAATTGACCACATCACAACCTCACCGTACCATCCTAGGTCAAATGGACAGGCTGAACGGTTTGTTGATACGTTCAAGAGAGCCCTTAATAAAAACAAATGGTACTCATACAGATGATGGTAATATACAGCAGTTTTTAAGTATGTACAGAATAACACCAAATCCAAACGCAATATCAAGGAGGTCTCCAGCTGAACTGATGTTTGCTAGAAAAATTAGATCTGTATTCAATAGGCTGCTGCCGGAAAGAAAAAAAGAGTTACCAGAACAAAACGCATCAGGAAAATATGAAATATCTCAGGCCGGGAGATAAAGTTTTTTTTTTTTTAAAATTACAAAAATGGGAAGGAATTTTGGCAAGATGGAGTAGTAACTCAAAGAATTGGTAAGATGTTATACATGATAAGAAGTAAAAATGGACGCACAAAAGACATTTGAACCAATTAAGAAAAAGAATCATTGAAGAAATAAGTAAAGAAAATGAAGAACCAATGGAGGTATTATATGATTTATTCGATATACCAACTCCACCATTGCCTGAAACAGTTGTCCAAAGAAGGACAAGCAAAAGAAAAAGAACTAGGGTGGAACGTTTAAGTCCAGATCCGAAAAGAAAAAGATATTAATTCCTCCGGAATTAATCTCAAGGGGGAGGTGTTGTGTCGGAAACCTACCACCCCTCTTGAAGATGAACTTGTCTGCGAACAAAGACTTTAAATAGTGGCATGTCAGTTGACATGATGGGAGACTGATAGACAGAGATGTTCTTAGCTGAGCTAGTTATTGACTACTCAGGCGATTTCTGTACCTTTTTACCAACCTATTAAAACCCTTTTTATTGTTACGTGTTATTTGGCGTTTGTCTCTACTAACCCCAAATCAACATCATAACAGAAGGAAAGGAAGTATGTGTGTGTGAGAGAGAGAGAGTTTTCTTTGTCACTCTCTTAGCGAAAAGGAAAGTGTATATGGTGTTACTACTTACTAATTCTACTACACAGTCCCCCTTCAGACATGGAGTGAATAAAATTTTGGTACGATTATGTCCTACTACTAATTGGTAAACTTCTCTCTTTTTTTTTTATACTTATAATAGTACTCATTCTGTTTTTTTCCATATGACACGTCTACCTGCTTTAGATGTGTACAATTTGGTATTACTGCATGTACTATTTTCATTAGACATACTGGTAGTAACATTTTTCTCACTGTCAGTGTATTTATTTGATTTTGCTTGTAAATTGGCACTATTTTTACATTCTATATATAGTTTTAGTCTGTCAACTGATACTTACGTAATTATTTAAGTCTATTAAGTAATGCTTCAGCAAACGTAAGACTTTGTAAGGGCCTGTATAAGGTGCTTCCAAAGGTTTTCGTACTTGATCTACTCGAAGCCATACTTTAACGCAAGTATGTAAAGAATTTGGTATGAAAGTGTTTGTTCATGTAATATGATGTTTTCTGCCATCATTTAACATGTCTAATTGCAACATAGATTTATATAAATCTTTTATATACTCTTCCTGTACAGGGGCAATATCTTTAATATTTGCATTGTTAACTAATTGGTAAGGAATTAGTATTGATGCTCTAGTATCTGCTGCAAATGGTGCAAAATTAGATTCATTTGGAGTACGACAAATTCCTAAAAGTACAATGAATATGGCGGTTAGCCAAAATTCCTTTCAAGCTATTATTGCTGTTTTTAAAGTGTGATGTGTTCTTTCTATCAATCCATTACTTTGTTGATGATATGCTGTTGTTCTTAATTTATAGAATCCTACTACTTTTGCTAATTCTTGGAATAATTCCCTTTCAAACTGGCGACCACAGTCGGTGACAATGTATAGTGGTATGCCAAATTGCGATATCTGTACATCACTGAAAGCTTGGGCTACTGACTTTGCAGTGATCTCTATCATAGGTTGGACTTCAATCCAATGTGTTGCACGATCTATATAAGTAAATATCGATAAGGGCTGATATATTGTTTTGATTCCCTTTATGTTGGCGATAATGGCCCAACAATGTCGATATTTACAGTTTGGAATCTTGTTGAATGTAATTCAAAATTCTGCACAGCAAACTTAGTGTGTCTGTGAATCTTGGATTGTTGACAGACAACGTATTCTGCACAGAATGTCTTAACGGATTTGTTCATTTCAGGACAAAAATATCTTGCTTTTAATAATTTCAAAGAGGCACTTATTCCAGTGTTTGCTAAGCAATGTAAGCTAGTAAATATTGTTTTACTCATACCTCTAGGAACAAATGACTTAGGATGTATAGTGGAAATATCACATTGTATGGATCTGATTTTAGAGGAATATTATATTCCTTTAGATTTTTATATGATTTGATTTCATCATCTTGTTTCTGTGCTTGTGCTATCTCTGAAATGCCCTGCACAACAGCTTATGATCCATAAACAATACTACACTGCAACCCTCTATGAAGTGGTGAAAATGCAGCACAGGGAGATAAGCAGCGAGAAGCTCTCAATTGAACATGGAATATTTTGTCTGTGCTTGTAAAAATTTTTAGGAAAAGAATCCAATCAGTATAGATTGTTTGTCTACTATTCGATGTAAAGCTGCATTTGATTTTTTTATGACGTTCACTGACCCACATAAGCTATGTCGGGTTATGACAGTTACCAAGGATAGGAACAATAGAAGGAAGGAAAGGAACTATGTATAATAGAGAAGAGAGAGAGTTTTCTTTGTCACTCTCTTAGTGAATAGGAAAGTTTATATTTTCATATTTCAACGTTAAAAAATGTATTGTAACAGCAAGACATTTTAAAATCCACTTCCCCACCCCATACAGTACGATATTTTTTTTTATTGAAGATAACCTCGAACAAAAGCAAAAAATCATCTTCTTGTGTACTAGTTTTTAAAAAAAAAAGACTAAAAATATTTTTTTTTTTACACAGAAATATAGACAAATATTTTTTAACTTTGAGTAACGCAATGGGTAATATTTTAATTTTTAATACACTTAATTTTTAGTGATAACAGTCGAATTAATCCTAAATAGACCCTTGCATTCAATGGCAAATTCATTGCTACGAATGAAAAATCTCTGGATTGACCAGATGGTTTCACTATTTTAATTTTTCCTTTTGTTTGGTTGGGGGTGATGGTCGTGCAGAATAAAAAAGATATCAGTAGCTCTGACGAAGAGATAATAACATGGCTTTACGTAATGAAGCAATTTTAGAAAATATACCTAATGATCTTATCCGTTTCTTCTGGTTTTTAATTCACTAATTAAAAATTCTAGAAATAATTCTTGGTCCGATTACTTTCATTTTTTTTTTGTCTTCTCTCAACAGCATCTGCTTTTTATTTTATCCATTAAAAAAAATAAATCATCTTAAAAGATTAAAATTGAAATTTTAAATAAACAATATAACTATTCTTGTATTCGTACTAAAGCTAATTAATAGATTGTTCACTTATTGAATAAAAATATTTACAATTCTACAGAATGTGAGGAGAAACTAGTTTTAAATACTCAACAAACTTATTTCTGCTGAAAAATCAATTCAATAAAAAATAAATATACAAGAACCGCAACAACCCAAAAATAATTATTTAAAGAAAGTATGTTTGGAAGTAAGAATGTTTGAAAATCTTATTGGAGGTAAGGTACAAAAACAAAAATTATAATTGGATACAGGACAAAAAAAAAAAAAAAGGTAAAATAAGGAAAATGTTTTCCTTATTTTTATTTTTTTCAATGTTAAATAATGTCTGTCCTACAAGCAATTAGTAAAAATATTTCCTGTACTCAAACGAATGAATACGTATTTTAAATTTCAATTTGACCACAATAATAGTTTTATTAAAACGAGAAAGTTGCTAAATTGGAAGGCCGATTATAAAACTTTTAAACTTCGAATTTAGCATCGTCTTAGCCAGGGCAGCTTTTTTTTTATGTTTTCAAATATCGAATATGTCGTTGAATCCTAATTTTACTACCTGGTCAGGTGCAAGTGAAGATTATTTCAGTCTCTTACTTTTCCATTTTTTTTTAATTAATACTGTTTTAAAGTTTTTGTTTACACTTTCAAAAGCTACTGAAAAAAATAAAATAAAAACAAACACGTGTTTAAATTTTCTCTAGCTTCCTCAAGAAAGAGTTTCTTTTGGATACGAACTATTAGGAAAGAAACTAAAATATTTCTGCATAATAGAAAGATTATAAATGACCGAAGTTAAAATAAACAAGGCCAGTGCCCCTTTTGTGGTTTAATATAGCATTTTATTTTTAATAAACAGATGAAATAGAAGAATGAATTTCGTCATTATGAGTGAAGAAAAAGATGTAAAGGAACAGTCTTTTTACCTCAAAATATATGAATTAAGAAAAAAAAACAGGAAATGATACTTCTCCACTTCCTAGTTTTAAGATATCCATACCTGACTTTATCCGATTTTAATTTACGAACAGGACCATCCGTAAAATCTTCCTCGACGCGGCTACACATGGTTTTTTTTTTTCGCTTTATACAATTAATTATTTACTTCGTTTGTCTGAAGAGCGATACAATAAATATCATAGCAACAGTTACTTCCCTTTACCGGGCACTTGTTGTTATAGCAGAGTCATCATTGAGTAGTTGTTGGTGCTAATTCACTGACGGAGGAAATTAGCGAGATCTAGTCCAGCCAGAATCCTATCAGGGGCTAAAAAATTAAGTATAATTGTTTGAACTCCAAGAAGCCGACACTCCAGACAGTAACTATCCTTTGGTAGGGTGTTAGGATTATCCTAGCACCCGATTCCTTTCTAAGTGAAATACCGAGTGAACTTGTGCAGTTTTTATTTTTTTAGTCCTACGTGTGAGATTCACATTTTTTTTAAACTCTACTTTGTGACATATTATATTCGAATGGACGTACGAATAAATCTTGATCTTCCCTGGATTTCCGCCCTCTGACATTAGTAACCGACCGGAGTAATAAAAGATCAGCTTTTTAGTTAGACGCTGTCACCTCAGGCAGTACCTCACTAATATATTGTTTATTTATTTACTGAAAGTGTCAAGATTAAACTTTGATTTCTAAGGAGTTATAAAATATCGAGATATCTGGGATTTGTAATGATTTATGAAGAGACGGGCCTTGCCTGAACCATATTCCCTCTTTAGTGGAAGGACGGTTAAAAAAATCTAAAAGTTAAAATTTAACTTATTCCTTAGCTGTGTGGCGTACCCAATATGAGTAAATGAGGAATGAAGATCTAACTCACAAGTGGTACTAAAAAAAATATTGCTCTAAAAAGGCTAAAGCGCCTCAATTTACCAAGATCAGTTTTTAGTCCTGTACAAACAAGGTAGCAAGCGTAAGCACTCAAAAAAACAAACTCACTCCAGCTAGTTGAGTAGTATTTTTAATTTAACCTGTGAGACGAGCTTAAAACATTGTTCATCAGCAAGGTAGCTTAGAAAATTGATTTAAGAATAGATAGTCCCTACTGTAGTGTGAGTTTATTTTTCATTTTTTTTTTAACAAAGTAGTTTTCTGCAAACCAATTTGCTAGTTAGATCGATCCTCACTGGTTTCTCCAATTATGGCATGTTGCCATCTAAACCGTAATTCAGATATAAACAAACAAGAAAATACCTACATGATCAGATAAGATCTTAAATGAGAAAAAAAAACTTGTTAGAGCTGTTATTCATTTTCTGCATAATTAATCTGATTTCCGATAATAATAATAATAATAATAAAAACAATAACATTTATTGAGCAATAAAAAAAATAATGTAATTAAAAACTGAGATTTTTAATTTATTCTTTAAAAAAAGACACGTTTTAACAGTAACACAGATAGTAGGTAGATTATTTCAACAAATTGTTACAAAATATCTATATTTCCCTTATTTTTTTTCATTTTAACAGTCTCTGCTCTAAAAATAAAAACAAGGTAAGGAACACAAAAATTATAAAATATCTTAATAATTTGTCCTCTGCTATACCCCGAAACTAAACACTCAAATTAATTTTTAAAATTCCAGTTGTCTTTGTATTGTTCCTTTTAAGATCAAATAACTTTAAGTCACCAAGTTAGGTTGATCGGTTAAACCTTTGGATTTGGCTTTAACTGTGACTGATCGGCCGAAGTCTAGTACATTATACCACAAAAATAAATGATAGTTGTGTGAGGTGCCGTTAGCTTAACGTTTTAGAAAATTGACACCGCTTCTAAGTTAGTTATGGTTTAGGTTTGTTGTAGTCACATTCGTTGCGTAACATTCATCCAACAGATCAACCTTTATTTAGCAAGGATTATCTGCTACACTACAGCTACAAGATCCCCATAATCTCAATATTCAGAGAAACTATCAGATTTAGTATTTACCTTTTTCTTTGTTTTTTCCTTACGAGAAAAATGTTTTGAAGTCTTGTCCTTGTGCCTTGATTGATTTCTTAGATTGTGTAAAAATTTACATTTCTTTTATTTTTGTTTTTTAAATGATTCTTTCTATTTTCGAATGATAAAATTTTTTTATGGGAACGATTTTTTATGATGAAGAATATTGCGATGACTCAACTACATCGCATGAACAATAATACACACTTGTTTTTTTATCTATTTTTTTAACACTCAAATTATGGAAATTTAAATCTATTTTCATTTTCACTGTGTCTTATTGTCTTATTTATTTGATAGATAACATTTAATTAATTAAAAAGAAGTTAAGCTCAAACAGACAGATTTCTATAAAGAAGGATTTTTTCTTTTTTGTGGCATTAATGAACCCATGCATTTTAAAAAGAACTAATAAATTTAATAATATGAAGCAATTTATATCAATGACAATCTCTTTCCAGGATCAAGGCATTGCAAAACGAAAAAGTAAAACGCCCGAAAACGGTCAAATGAAAATTAACTTAGTAGTAATGCTGGCGCATGTAATTTTCGAATCAGCTGTCCGTTAAAAATTGTCAGCCTTTGTGTATTTATGTGTGCAAGTGCACAGCTCTGTGTTGAGATAAAGATTGATGCCTGGGAAAAGTTAACACTGTAACACGTACTTGCACTGTGGAACGATTTTAAAACCCATTTTTACCAGGTTCTTCTCAAGCTCAAGTATAACAGGAGAAATTTTATAATGCTATCCATTTCATTTTTCATACATATTGCTATCAGAATTTTCGACATCTTTTTTTCTACATCCCCATTTTTATTCATTTTATTTTTGCTAATCTGGATAGAGGAGGAAGAGTGAGATTTTATTTATTTATTTTTTTTTTTTAAGTGCATTTGGTTATGATAGGGTTGACGGTTGAGGAATCAATCAATATTTTTTATAAAAATTACGTTTTTGATTTTTATTTACTTATTGCGATGTTTATCAAGTCATTCCTTGTGTTTTCACGGGATTGGTAATAAAAGAAGATAGATCAAAATATGAATGATCATTGATTTGAATTAAATTATTAAATAGTGAATATCATATTGTTGTGGCTTCTTCTATGATTAGTCAGGTGACTCGACACTCTTTAAATGGGGTCAAAGTATTTAATAGAACATTTGTTTTTCTTCCAATGCGATCCGGCAAAGCTCTGATTTTATTAGTAGTAGTACTATCGTTGCTTTCTGTTCTTTTTTCTCGTTGAGTTTTGTCGCCCGATAGAAATCAAGTGACAGCAAGCTTACTCACTTTTTTAAAAGTTTGCTTTTTTCTTTTATTATTTCTCTTGCTTGATTTGCTGTAATAGAGTCATTTCATTTATGACGCCTTTCATCTGAGAATCCATAAATAAAGATATTTTTTCCGAGGAATTGAGCAGTACCCTAACAGTCTTTTCTATTCCAGATTAAGCTAACCTGGAATTTTCTCAATATTTCTTCTTAGGCATTCCGAAGACTCTTACTGGAAAAAAGTTTTTTTTTTTTTTTTTGTTTAATTAAATTCCCCATTACAACTGTTTGAGGGCTCCTATAGCCCCACTAAACTTAAATAAAATCAATTCAGGTTTATGGTGAAAATTTTATATCCTAATTAAAAACCATTACAAAACTAGCTCAAAAGTCATTTTATCACAGCTTATTTTCTCTGAAAAAAAGTAAATTTTCATACTTTTAGGGGTAAAACAAGGTAAAATATTGAAAAATGACTTTTGTCATCATCTGAACAAAATATCAAGGATACTTTTGATCTGAATCCCATGAAACTAGGTATTTTCTGAAAGCAAACAATGTGTTCTTTCATTTAAAAGTAAAATTGGCTGGTGTAAATGACTCAAAAAAATTTTTTCAGGGGTAAAATGTGAAAAAATAGTAAAAATTTTGCATTTTTTTCTAGTTCTAAACAAAAATTTTCCCCAATAATGGGAAATTAACCATTTTTTTGGAAAATCTGAAAGCTTAAATCATAAACAAACTATTTCAGGCATAAAGCCGAGAGTTTGAAGGAAAACAAAATTCCTAGGGGGTCAAAATGCGACAAAGTCCATTGGTAATTTTCAATTTTATAGCCACCAGGGGTTAAGAAAATTGACACCCTACCATGAAAATCTTTAATAAAAGGCAAAAGATTTATCTAAAATTCCTGACCACTGGAAACCAGGATTTTGTTTTTCAAAAAAAAATATTATTTCTGTCTGACTAGAATTTACCAATAACTTTTTCTTCACTGCCAGAGATTGGGCTCTTTTTAAATGTTTATGTTCATGTAATGCCTACATATTCTGTAAGCTGGTTTTCAGTCTCAGATGCCTAAATTTATTCAAGTTACATGCTCTTCTCAATCCTGGTACTTTTAACCTTAAGAAGCAGGGTTTTTTTTAAACTCCTTATGTATCAGTCTAGATAGAGGTATAAAATTAATTGCATGGAGCCAATTTATTAGAATGATAGCATGTCCATTTTCTCTTGCCTCATAAGGCTGCAGCAAAATCATTAATGCAATGCATAACCAAGTCCACTATCAAGTAAGACCTTAATTCACTTCTCTTTTTCATACCTGCTAATGTGTATCAGTTGTACTACTTGAATAAACCATTGTCACATTCATGTTTCATGAATATGTAGATAAAGAGTTTGAATATGTAGATAAACAGTTGTACCTGTGCTTGACTGTTTTCACCCATGAACAAAGTGTTATCATGTTGCAGATATGATAACACTTATATTGGGATGTCTAGACAAATTTCTCTCCACCAGCCATTACAATAAAGGTATTACCCTACTCTATATTTTTTAATTCATTTAATGCTCAGGTAGAGCTGCTCTGTATTAGATGTTTAACAATCTTCACAGTGACTGTACAGAAACAACACTTTGGATGTACTGCATTCCCTAAAGTATGTACCTGATTAGATTTTGTTAGCAGTCTTTGATCTTGAGCTGATATGATAAACAACTTCTGTTTTTGGTTTCAACCACTGATGTTTAAATTTTTGCCAACATCAGAGTCTTGTGCTAGCAATGAGTATCAATCATGAAAGGATTTTTCTTCACACTTGGTTTTCAAGT